GAAGGCTGTGATCGCCAAATCTTTCACCGCCTCCTCTTGTGTCTCCCTTTCCCAGAGAGTGTTCTCACCAAGGTAAGGAGGTGGTTCAAATGTACCGCTGCTTTCTTCGGTTTTGGTGGGACTTGCGCATCTACTTTCGCCGACGATTTCAATAGTGTGTTCACTTTCGACTTCGACTCCTTTGGGTATTGTGCGGAGTGGTATTCATGCCAGGCCTGTATCCCGTAGAGATACTTCTCGACCGTTGTTGATTTTACTTCTTGGGTTGTTTGCTGTGACTCATTGCGTCCGGCCCAAAAGCAGAATTGGTATATATCTTCCGCGGTGACTGGTAGGGTGAAAGGTAGTTCGTTTCGTTCGGTCTTGAACCGCACAAATTTCTTGACCGCCGCGTTATAACTGACGATGGTGTTCCATTTGAACCCGTTTAGGTAGTGAATGTCTATGGGTTGTGGCGTCCGCGGGACGGAGCCGTTCGCCAGGAAGGCTGACAGTTTTGTCAAGTCGAGGGAACTCATGATTGGTTTGTTCTGGGTGGTGTGCCCATGTCCAACTGGGAATGAAGGGTCTCTCCGAGCGGCTGCTCTTAAGAATTGTGTGAGACGTGTCAGATCTTGTTTTCATGCAATGTACCATTTCAAATTGTTAAAGCGTGGGCTAACCCCGTGACGTGGGAAGGAAAAGAAAAACAAGTAGATCGGCCTCTGTCACAACGTGGGAACAAACAAGAGGTCTAAATCGGGAGGTAGGATTACTGGGACATAGTTACAAGACTTCAGGGTGGACTGATCCCCTCTGGATAGTGCATCTGCTTTGTTTTCTTTGGATGTTACCCTTCTAGCAACAATGTCTATTTGCATCTCTATCAGGAGTGACTGAATCCTCTTCCACTCCTCGTTTGCCGCCCAATCCTTGGATTTCCGGTTATGTACTGCGTTCTCCGCGGTCGTGTTGTCCGTCCAGACCACGAAAGCCTTCCCCGGAATCGCCTTCAGTCTCTTGAGCATCAGCAGGCCTATTCTTATGGTTACTGTTTCTAGCCAAGCTATATTCCTGGGCGGGTTTGACGAGCTGTCCCAGCCTTGGACTGCTTTTAGCTGGGTCCAGTGTTTCCCTATGAGGACTCCCACTCCGAAACTTGTCGAAGCATCTCCGACCCACCCAATGTCTGTGGGGGTCGGGTTCGGTAGGAGCCTGGTCTTTGAGAATGTCGACAGAGTGTGCAACCAGAACAGCAGGTCTTCTTTCACATCCTGAGGTGTGGGTCTCGTGGCGTTTGTTGAGAACCAATTCTTGAGCCACCTGTAGAGTGAGCAGAGGTAGCACCTAAGCTGGGGTAGCACAAAGGATACGTGATTCAGTCTTCCAGTTATTACTTCTACCTCGCCGAATTTGCTGAGGTGTCCTGGCTCTAGGAAGGGTTTAATTTGGGCCATCCGTTCTTCCACTTTCCCTTCTGGTAGGCGGACTGTCTTATTCGTGCTGTTCCATACGAAGCCGATATACTTCTGTTCAGTCTTGAAAGGTGAGAATTTTGTTTCATTTGTCTTGACTCCTAGCGCGTTTGAGCGGCGGACAATATCGTCCATCGTCACTGTAGATTGTGGGGTTTTCACGAATAGATTGTCGTCTACCCAATGGAACACCTCGACTAGATCAAATTCATGTTTCATCACGAGTTTCCAGGCATCAGCTGGTCTGCCGAAAGAACCACAGCCGGCGACACCGCCAAACGTAATCCTCGTGTCCAGGATGATCTTGTCGTCGAAGTCTTTTATCATCAGGTATGGCCATTGGTCTTTTGCTGTGGGAATTTGTCGGTAAGCTTTCTCCCAGTCAAAGATTGCTAGGAGGGTCGGTCCTTTGTGCTTCCTGAAAAACGTTGCCACAAGGTTGAAATCGTCCCATGTTGTCTTGAAATCGTCTGCGCTGAGGAAGGAGTTTACCGACGGAATGTTGTCTACGCCATGCGGGTGTGACAGGTCATTGATGGGCCTCAGAGATCCGTCACCGTTGATCACCGCTCCCAGCGGGTTTGTCCGGAAGAAGGGGAACCTTTTGCTGACTTGTTCCTTTTCGAAGGGGCCGAACATCCGTCCCGCTTCAATTTCTCCTTTTAGGGACTTCTCGATCTTCTCTTTTGCTTGTAGGGCTGAAGCGTGGTTTGGTGGAGTATAATACGGTAGATCACCAATTGTATGGTGCGGTATCCCTTGGTCAAACCCTTTTTCGAAGCCAGCTAGTACGTCGTCGAATTGCGGAAGTAAGCCTGCGTTTCTCAGGGCTTTCCTCCATTCTGGAATATTCATCTCACACCTGACCGCTGACGGCCATCTTTCTTTGCTCTGTATCGGACAAGTCGCCTGCCGTGTTGTATCGGTCTCAACTGGGTTCGTCTCATGGGGCTCATCAGATTGCTCCGGGTGCTCAAAGTGTGGCTGGTTCATTATTCTGGGTCATTGCAGGGTAGCGTAACAATGACGCGAGGAGAAACAAAATAACCAAAGGAAGGAACAACAATAAGCGACTATGTACAATATTTTTTAGTTGATCGTTAATCTCAATCTCGTTTCTCTCTATAAATCTTCTTCCTTTTTTTTTTTTTTTTCCTATCTTGAGTGGTGGTTGTTACTGGGGTGTAGTGATGGTGGGAATGGGTTAAGAGAGGCAGTGGGTAAGAGAATTGAACAAGAGGATTGGGGAGAATTAGTGGCACTTACGATTGGCTGCTCAAAACCATTTGGCCGTTGTTCTGGTTCGGTGGCTGGGCTGCACCGCGTCGGTGGTCTTGGTAATTGGGGATGAAATTCTTTCCCTTGTAGCCGCCACTTTTCGGGGCCCGTTGGTCGGACTGTTTCTGGTTGGGGTGGTTGTTGCCACCTGTAGGGGGTTGGTAGAATGTGGGCTGTTGGTAGTGGCCCTGGTTATGATGCGGGGGTTGGTATTGGCCGTATGTCGGTTGTTGGTTGTAGTAGCCTTGTTGGGGTAGTTGGCCGTGGGATGTCAAGTTTTGGGTTTGGTGGTTCTTGGTAAACGGTTGTTTACCCGGTTTTGGTAAACAGGTTAGAGGGTCGAGATGAGCTCTTGGTCCCCCTGCCGCGTAGGGGTTGGTGTCTCTGAATCCTAGTTCATCGAAGTTGCGAGCCTCTGCGTAACAGGACTCCGCGATGTCTGTCCGTAATACCGATATGTCGGGTACTGATGGGTCTCCGTTTATGACTACCCGGTGTGCGAACACGTTTGTCCTGAGTTGGATGTCGTACCTCAAGGCTGTCATGAAGCCATCTTTGGCTTGCATCCTGTCGCAGTTTGCTTTGTGGACCAGGAGCCAGCCCGCGAAGGTGGGGAACCGGTAGATGTCGCGGAGGGCGAGGTGGAAGGCGCGGTGGTTAATCGTCCAATCGCTGAACGATTGTTCCCATTCGTTTTGGAACTTGAGGCCGGAATATCTGTCTTTGGTCTCCGAAGAATCATCCGATTTGGTTCGTTTGTCGGCATGGAATAGGACGGCGGCGTCTTGCCACTTCTTGTTGAATATGGTCAGCGGTATCGGGCCTTTCAGCTCTTTCATATTCTTATCGAAGAACGTGGGTAAACCCATGTCTTGGAAGGTGTTGACTCCTTTCCCATAGAACGAAAGTCCTCCTTCCTTGATTTGGGGTTCGGTCGATGAGATACCGACCATCGCGAGGGATTTTTGAGGGATTAATGCCCCGTGATAGGGGTTTGCCTCCGTTGGTTTCAACGTGGATTTAGCTTTCAGATCTGCTAGGATGTCAAAGAACATCTCAGCCCGTGCATCGTCTCCTTTGCGTTGGGCAGCCATCGCCTTTTTGAGGATCGCGGCTTGCTCCTCTTCATCCGACGGGTCTTCGATCTCTTCGAGCGCTCTCTTTTGTCCCGTCCCTGGTGTTTGGGTGGCTTAAATTTAGATGGGAAGGAGACTGCTTTTTAGATCGATGTTCTTTTTTTTTTTTTTTTTTTTTTTTGGATGATCGTTGGTCTTTTTTTTTTTTTTTCACTTACGTTTACCGGGTGCGGCTCTTAGTAACCCTAACACCTCATCTGCGTTGCTCTCCTCTTCGGGGTTGGACTCCTCGTCGCCAGGGCCCGCGGTGTTTTGTTGGCGCTCTGCTATCGTAGATAGTCTGGACTTTTTAGAGGTCGCAATGGTCCGTCCGGCTGCCTGGATTTCGGTTCCCTTCTGGGTTCTTCCACCGTCGGTTGCCTGGGAGGTAGGTCCTCCTGTCTCTTCCGTATTGGTATTTTGGCTTTGTTGTGGGTTTGGTGTGGTTTCTGATGACATCGTTCCTACAGTCCGGACGTTGAATCCCACATCACAAAAGTATCAGTGTTGCTGTTCCACCGTGTGGTTCACTGTCTGTTCGTGTCTTCTTTGTTGTTGTTGTTTTTTTTTTTTTTTTTTTTGGGGGGGGGGGGGAACGGGAGGGGGGGGGTGACTTACGAGTTTTGGTGGTATAAGAGGAGGTGTTTGTTCGCGGAAGATTGCGTTTGGTATGTCTTGTGCGTCTGGGAAGTTTCCTGTGCGTTTGGGATGTTTGGTATTTGTCAGTTCTTAGATCTTTCCTTGTTTGTTTATGGGTTTCCGTCTTGGTTCTTTCCCCTTTTTTTTTTTTTTTTTTTTTTTTTTTTTTCTCACCTTGTTGGAATGAATCCTTTTGGGTTTTGAGAGTGTTTTGTGTCGGTATTGGTGGGATGTTTTTGTGTGAGTTGGATGCGGAAATGGGGTGTAGTTGTGTTGATTTGGATATGGAATGGACTTGGTTATGGATGGAACTGCGAAAAAGGCGAAAAAGGAAGGGGAATCTCCCGGATGAGCGGGGAGGAGAACTAGGATGGTGGGCGAGTCGCTTGGCGAGGAAGCGGTAGCTGGAAGGAACTAGCTTGGGGGCGAGTGCCATCCAGCCAGGATTCTGCCGCTCCGGCCAGGGCTGAGGGTGAGACTGCGTCTCCGCAGTGAAGTGGTTTCAGCCTATTGAGGGGCAAACCTACTTCAGCCTCAGCGGCTCTGCCGGCCGATCCCAGCCGTCGCGGCGTAGCATGCTGCCGCTCCATGGACGCCGGTGAACTCAGGGCTGCGCCCGGCCGTACACCTACCAGAAAACGGTCAAAGGAATTGGACACTTCTCCTTATTCCGGTGCAGGGCTTTCTTGAGGGACGCGTGCTGAATTGGGGGAGACCCAAACCCGGGGATTACACACACAATCGGCCATTTCTAAAAACGTCCCGAAGACTCAAAAGTAATCTGATAGCTTGATTGGCGAGGTTGAAGGCTACACCAGCTGGAATTGCTCCTTACATGGAAAGCCCATCGATTGCAGGTGACTTGTGTGCTTGGCCGGGCCAAAAGGTGAAAATAGTGCAGACAGTGTAACTGACTTGGGGGCTACCACCACCGGAAACAGATGGGAAGCCACACATAGTCTTACCGATTGAAGATATTTTGCTCGGAAGGCGAGGGGACCTGCCGAGCCATCTAAAGGGTATGGCTGTCGGGTCTCTAGGAGGTTACCTCGATGGCCGCTATCATGCTGATCATTTAAGAAGTTTCTTCGCTGACTGATACTATATCGGTCCTTGAAGTTATTACCTCGTTAAGCCGGCGTGACACCGGCTAACGAGCTATCACACCGATCATCGAGGCACTTCCTGATCATCATTGGCTGGTATCGTGCAGTCATTGAGAAAGTGACCCCTACGGCCGGTATCACTTTCACAGCCCTCCACGATCAGTATCTTACCGGCCGTTGGGACAGTCTCAACCCCGCCGTGATTTTTTTTGTCTTCTCCTTTGCTTGCCTTCTTGTCTTCGAGATATCTTTCAATGAACCCTTCAATCGTCTGAACCACAAAAACTTTGACCCTCTTTCTGTCTCTCCAAGCTCTATGCCAAACTACATATTTATAAAATTTGATAGGATTTCCATACAAATTGATTTAGAGAGGGGAACAACCCCGGACAATTACTTTTACATTTAAACAAACAATTTCTGTCTATCGAATCAAAACAAATTGAGTGAAAAAAACTCAAGAGTGGGAATGGATATCATAAAATCAACGGGGTGGACGCGTGATCCGAGAGTGAGATTTGCCGAGATTGAATTTTCTCTGAACGGTTGATTCGCTTCTCAGACGCGAAGCAGAAGAGGAAGATGAGGAAGACGGTCCGACAGAAGGGTTGAGAGTTCGATGAGGCAGGCTGGGTTTGCTGGCAGTAGCAGAGCTGTTAGTGGCGGTAGAGCTTCCGGAGATTCCTCCGTCCTCCCCGGTGATTGATAATAAGGACTTCAAGACGGCGGTCCGGTTACGGGTTGGCGCGGGCTTAGAAATACTTGTAGCGGAAGACGGGATCTGCTGCTTGACTCGATGGACAGTGCCCAAGCCCTTTGAAATCGACGACCTCGGCTTGCCCGTCCTCGTCTGTAGAGCTTTGGTCGTCGGACCCTTGGGCTTGGTGTAAACGACCAAACTCTCCAGTGTCTCATTCCCCTTGTCGTCAGCTGGACGCGTTTGATCACCCGCATTCTGGCTCGTCGAGATGGAGATGGACTGCTTGGGAGTCGGGTTCATGTCTAGCTCTTTCAGGATTTTCTCTCGCTCCTCGTTCATCTTCCGCATCTCCATCTCGGCTCTTTGCCTGGCAAGTTCGATCGCCTCTTGCGCTAATTTCTTCCTTTCGACTGATAAGGCTTCGACTTGCATTTGTATTTGCGGCTGAGCGATTTCCAAGCTGCGCTCACTAGATAAATGGATTTCAAATTAGACTTTTGGTCAACGTGGTCGGGTAGGTTAAAATCATCCTTACACTGTCACGTCTTCCATTCCAGTCGCTTGCGGCGGTCCCCAGGCCAAGCCGGTATGGGCCCATCCTTCAACAGTCGCCTCGGCTTCTTTCAGGGATACCTTTAACCTCTCGACTTCTTTCTCAAAGTTGGTTCGCATCTGTGCCAATTCTTTTTGTGATTTGCTCCTCTCTTGTTCTGCCAGTGAGCTAATTTCGGTTAATTTATTCTGCAATTCTTCGACTAGCTTGATGATTTCAAGGACTCTTTCGCGAAGTTTGTAAGTAACTAATGACAATCTTTTGTAGATTTTGGGCAATGGTACGTTCGAGTTCGGAGTACTGATAAACCGATCTTCTTCATGCATTGGTTCTTCATCATCGATCTCGAAGACTGAGCCCTGGGCATCGTTGTGGTTTGTGATTTCTGATATCAGGTCAATCAATTGTTGTTCATAAATCCCAAGATATTCCCGTAGCCTCGAATTATCGATTTGAAGTTGGTTGTTCTGATCTCTCGAAGCCTTGAGGTCGAATTCAAGTAATCCAACGCGTCCACCGCCTCCGGTATCAACTCGGGTCGCCAGAGGAGCTGATGAGGTCCAATTAAGAGAAGACGGTAGAGGGAGATCTTTGCTAGATGATAGCTTTGTCAGACGTCGTTGAAGTTCATCAAGTTCATTAGTCTTCTTTCGCAGTTCGTGGACACTGGTGGTTTTAATCAGTCTTTCAGCATTCTTCAGTTTGGAGTAGTCATCTCGCGTCTTTCGATGCCTAGCCTTTTCGAGATCAAGTTCTTTCTGTGCTGCACTATTTTTCAAAGTCTTATCAGCCGAGGTTTTCGATAGAAATAATTTGGCAACAAGACATTTCTATACTCAACTTGGCACGATTGGTGCTTGCAGTAGCCTCCTGTTGGGCCTCAAGTTTTTCTTTCTCGGCACGTTCTAGGAATCCTTCCAGGCGGGTATGTTCATAGGATAGCTCTCTCTGCTTGGCCAGCAGGCCCTCTCGAATCGACATCTCCTTCTACTAATCGGCCGGATGTTAGGATCAAGGCCACAAGCCGAAAAGAGACAGAATTGACTGACCGAGCGAGAGGCGATCATAGACCAAATAGCTTTGATGAGATATTTTTGACCTTCGAGTGAGCCTCCATTGAGAGTGTCAGGCGGCAACGGCTGACGTAGGAATCCAGCTGAGATGAGTTGGGTTGAAAGCTGAGCAAGTTCTTCGGAGTGAGTATCATGCCGGGCATCTGCGTCGTGATGACTGTGTGTATGAATAAGCAATTTCAATGTGTATGTCTGTATAGGGTGAGAGGATAGGAACGAAGAGCATCATCGCGAAACTCACAGTGCTGATGAGGAGGATGCTTGAGGGGGATGGTTGGACTGCTGCTCGGGTTGAAGCATTGAATGTGGTGGTTGCTTGGTGAAGAATTGTTGGGCAGGCGAAGGAGAAGCTGACATGGACTTGATAAGTGTGTAGTAGCCCCGGGGTGGGTGCGGGGACTTACCCTCAGGAGCACACACTGCACCCCTTGCAACGTCTACCTCAAAGTTCCTCAGAGGAGAGCTCCATCATACATCAAGTGAATGTTGACACCAGACCTGCTCTCCATTAATGCACTTCATCATCCTCACCCCCGGGACTTGCTTCAACAGCGCGTCACTTGCCGCCGATGCGACTCAGTCGACCGGCTGGTTACCAGTGCAGTGGCTAGGCAAGAGTATTCACCACCTTTTATCTTTTAATGGCCCATATGCAGATGTTGCCTACCCGATGTGCCACACCTGGCCCTTCTGATATGACCTACCTCGCTTGCGACTTGGGACAATGTGGCATGTGGCTCTAGAGACGTATTTATTTGAGTTTTTCTCTGTATTTCTTCATTCTGACATTATCTGGACTTGCAAGGATCGTAATATCGTACATATCGGAGATGATCAAAAAGCAAGAAAGACGAGAGAGAAGAGCATCATTATGTGTTTGCGTATGATCGATTACACATGGGGCGATGAAGCCATTGGGCCCGGGTCCTGATCAGTGGTGAGTCTAGAAGGTAGCGCATACTATGTATGTGCTTATTTACGCACTTTCTTTCTCCTGGCATGGGTTGCTTTTTTCAAAGAAGAGATAGGAAGAACTCATGGCGGGGTTACGATGGGTTGCTATTTTTATAGGGGGTAAGTGAATTTTACAAACTATTTTTTACAAGACATATGTCTTGTAAACCAGATAGTTTGTAAAATTACATTTTTATGGGGGTAATGTATAATTTTACAACCCATCTGTGATTTTCAAAGGTTGTAAAAAAATGGTTTGTAAAATATGTTTGTTAAAATTGTATCACAACATTGGATTATGTAATTTTACAAACCATATCATGCAAGTCTTGCATGGCAAGGTTGTAAAGTTGTATAACAAACCTTAAATTTAGAATTTTACATGACATTTGCTTGCAAACCATAATGTCTTGCAAAACTAAGTATGTAAAAAACCTTATTAATACCCTGTAATAGAATTTTACAACACATAATTTACAATCTACCCACCAAACAAGGTTAAACTCTCACCATGCAAGATGATTTCAATTGAATCTCCCACAGTCGCCAAGATCAAGCTTCCAATGTGAAACCTTGTTTTCTGAAATTTTTGAGAAAAGGTAAACTATTAGCATTATCTGTCACAGATTTTCAAAGCTGTGAAATCCGTGTGACATGTCCCAAATCTCCCACACTGTGAAACCTTGTTTTCTCAAACTTTTGGGAGGGTATACTATTAACATAATATGTCACGGATTTTTAAATCTGTGAAACCCTTGTGACTTGTCTGACCTTTTTGCAAACCTGCGACATTTTTGATTTTCTGGAAGTTTCAGCCTATTTTATGGACCCCCCTCCAGCTCAGGTCAAGGGCCACCCTGGTCAATGCTCAACAGATTAATTGGCTTCCCAGTTCTATCACCAGTGTCAAAGAAAACATGAGCTGGCTCCTTTGTTTGTGCAATTGAACACCTAGGGAGTAAGAGTATGTTGAGAAGGAGATTCAGAAGATAGTTGAAGAAATTCCAGGTACATCTGGCAACATCCCTTTGAAGGAGATGAAGTCAATCTTGACCAAATAAAACAGTTTGAATTTGATTCCCCACAAGGCCAAAGACAAAGATAAATCAACTCCTCCAACTACAGCTAAACTCCAGGCCAGAGAAAAATAACCCGCAACATCTATGAAATTGAAATGATTGTGTTCTATGTTTTTTTCTGCAGGACTGTTGGAACTTCACTCTTCTTTTTATTCTTTTTACGGCTGTGTTTTCAACTCGAAGAAACCGCTGTTGGCTCGCCGCAGGTCTTGAATCTCTTTATGCTCCTTTCAGCCCATTATGGCTCTGTGGAATCAGCGGTCATGGGAAGGACGTCTTCACCACAATCGCTCATCACTTCTCATTTCGATCAACTGGCGAACTAAATGGCAGTAACGCAATTCGTTCAACTTTGACGCGTGGACAAAACATGGTATTTGATGTTCTCAGTCCTAAATATCCAGGACGATTCCTTCCCGGCGCGTTTGCTTCTTGCAATTACTTCCTTGAGGTTGCATTGGATCCCCAACTTCACAAGAAGGATGAGTATAAGCAGCTCTTCTCGATTGATGAACATTGAACTTTCACCTGCGAACTCCAGCCAAATAAATTGCAGAAGCACCCCACTTGAGATCACCGCACCCTTCATGTCTTGACAATCAAGCTGCAGATGTTTGATGAGAATCGGATTCCTCACTCTGATGTATCAAAGCTAATCGAGATGTGGCAAACCAATGGATTGCTGGCAACTTCGGGTATGATCTGCAAACACTGCAATCCAAACAAACCAAAACCAAAGCTCCCGAAGAACGCCAAAATTCAAAAAGTGTCTTCTGATGTCAACATTTTCAAGCTGCTTGGATCCTCTGAAAACACATCACACCACATAATTGATTGATCAAGATTGTCTGTCCCAGAAAATGGAGCCCCCCTTCATCTTAATTTCTATGTAGATGTCACCGGCATAACCGACAAGAAACAGAAAAATTACTTTATGGGATCAATCGATTGGCCGTTCAAGATTAACTTTGGAGGCTCCACATACACTCTGATCTCCCGAGGCTACTGGCAACATAATCACTACTGGTGTAAGGTCCTTCAAAGTGCTAACATCTCAGCTGACAAGGGTAGTTTGACCGCAATTTGGTTACACAACGACGCCAAGAATGATGGTCATGCTCAACAGATCAATCGGGTTCCCGGTTCGATTGCCGGAGTGGAAGAAAACACAAGCTGGCTCCTTTATTCGCGCGATTGGACACCTTCGGAGGAAGAATATGTCAACAACGCAATTCAGAAAATTGTAGCCGAAAATCCAGAAGCTGCTGGCGATGTCCCTTTCAAGGAGATGAAGTCAATTTTGACCACATCACACAGCTTGACGTTAATTCCCCACACCACCACAAACAAAGTTAAATCTACTCCTCCAACTACTGTCACATCCCAGGCCAGAGAAAAATTGCCTTCAACAACTACGGGTAATGCTCCAAACAATTACACTTCACCAGTCAAAGGAACAACTCCGATTGCACAACTTGCCTCTCAAATGAATGCACAGATTGCTCGAAAGTATGCACTAGACCAAAAAGAACCAGACACCAAACAACAGTGTTCCTTGGATGCAGAAGTCACACTGGAAATAGACGAATCATTCCTCTCGGTTGGCAACAAATCTCATGGTGATCAATCTTTTGTGCTTGGCAATCAATCTCGTGGCGAATCTCGTGATCAATCTTTTGTGCTTGGCGATCAATCTCTTGTTGAATCTCATGGTGATCAATCTTTTGTGCTTGGCAATCAATCTCTTGAATCCCATGGTGATCAATCTTGTGGCAAAGATAGCAACAAAGACGGCGGTGATCAAACCTTTTCTCTTGGTGATCATACTGGCGAAGACGGTGGTGATCAATCTTTTGCTCTTGGTGAACAGTCTCTTGGCAATCAAACTGGTAATCAGTCTCTAGCGGATGAAACAGATGATCATGTTACTCAAATTCAGGTGAAACACAGTCAAGAGGATGAAGAAGTCCCTCAGAAACCTCCAATACGGTTCAAGGTCATACTGAGACCACCTGAGCAACGATCACCTCCAAGTACCAAAGGAAAAACCCAGGCTTCAAGACAATCAGTGAGAAAGAAAAAATGAGATTGAAAGATTGTTCTCCTGGACTGACTTCACTTTTCCATTTATTCTGTTTGAGGCTCTGCATTTTTTATTTTTGATCTGCTTTTTTCATTTTTTTCTTCTTTTGTTCATTCCTTTTTGTTTGGTTTGAGGCTGTGTCTTTATCTTTTTTACCCCTTTTATCTTTTGTTGAGGATGTATTTCTCTTTTTTCTTTTGATTGCCTTTTATTGTTTTTTTGAGGCTGAGTCCTTGATGCTTTTTTTTTTTATTTCTGTGTTGATTTTTGTCTCCCTCTTTTTTTTTTTTTTTTTTTTTTTTTTTTTTTGGAGGGTTGCAAAATATGGTTTGTAAAATTCAATTTTACATACCTTGTTGTGCAATTTTACAAACCATAATTTACAACACATAGATGGGTTGCAAACTAATGGTTGCAAAATTCCTTGAAATGAGGCAAAAATGTACTTTTGCAAACCATATTGTTTGCAAGACATAAGGGTTGCAACATATGTGCCTTAAAATTCTACTTCATGGGGCAAGGGTTGCAATTTTAAGGCACATATGTTGCAACCCTTTTTTTTTTTGCACCCATATTTTTGGGTGATGGTTTGTAAAATTATACATTACCCCCATAAAAATGTAATTTTACAAACCATCTGATTTACAAGACATATGTCTTGTAAAATATAGTTTGTAAAATTACAGCGACCCTTTTTATAGATAGACTCTGTGAAGTCACACAAGGAAGGATTTCAAATTCCTCGGCTGGCTTGGATCTGTATGGTTCGGACGATGTGAGCACGACCATCTTTGGAAATTCCCCTCATGAAGATGCTGAGGCGAGATTGTTATAAGATCTTGGCTTCAGACAAGCTCGACAGAGGCAGGTGCCAGGAGTACAAGGTTAGTTCCGGGCTCGGTTCAAGTTGATATAAATAAATTTCCCTAAAATAGGATAGCACATGCTCGAGCCAGGCCTAATTAATATTCCGTCAGACTCAGACCTACACGCAGCAGGATCGTTGTTTCCATCCGTGAATCGATCTGGTCTCTGCTTAGTTTGTAGGCGCTAGGAGTATATCCGCTCTGAGTATACCAATTCAGGACATATTTATAAGAGGTTGAGTGGATTTCGTTTTGCTTGTATGACAACATCGAAGACAGCTTATCCAGTTCGATTCTTTTGCAAAATCTTAGAATGGACGCCGCCGTTTTTCTTGGATTGCTGCATGCGTTATTCGATGGCTTCCTCAGGTTTATTTGTGCCAACATACCGCCTTTCAGGAGGCGTTGGAGTGTTAAGGAAATGCCAGAATTATCAGGTAAATACATTGTCTGGCTGATTCTTTGCACAAGTATCTGATTGGCTCAAACTTGCTTCCCTATGCCTTGGCTAGGACGTGTGGCGATAGTCACAGGTAAATCGATAGTAGTCTCGTTTAGGGAAAACGTATCAAACCAAGATCAATCGTAATGACCCACTTAACTTGGCTTTTTAGGTGGGAACACGGGGATCGGCTTTGCAACTTGCCTCGAATTGGCTCGTCGAGGAGCAAAAGTCTAGTTGAGCCGAATCTTTACTTTGCTTGTGTACTATGAGCCTCATCTAATCCGAACTGACCAACATTTTGGACTCCTCTCAAAATCGACTATCCAGTTTGGCATCCAGGACGGAATCCCGGGCGAAAGCAGCCATCCAAAAGATCAAACAACTCGTGCCCGATGCACAAGTCGACTTCATTCCCTTTGATCTCAGGATCTTATCTTCTGCGAAAACAGCAGCAGAAGAATTCAAGGGCAAAGAGTCTCGACTTGATATACTCATCAACAACGCCGGCATCGTGAGTTTCTGCTTGTTAGAGTACCGATACACCATCTTTTCAAGCTTCCAATTTTTCACCTGGGATGCGCTTTAGATGGCGGCACCATACGAGCTCAGTCCAGATGGAATCGAAGTACAAGCTTGCAACGCAACTGGCCATTTTGCTCTCACCTCTCACCTCTTACCGATCCTCAAGCGGACGGCGTCATCCATCTCCGACTCGCATGTCCGGATCGTCAACGTCGCCAGCGTAGCACATTTGTTCGGCACAGATCCCGACTTCTCTAGCCTTGAGGGAATGAATCGTCCAAATGATTGGCCGATGAGTAGATACGATTATAGCAAGCTCAGTGTGAGTCGCACAGTGATCACGCTGTTGAAAGTCCAATTTCAACTAAACCAATTTTGACCGAAATACATGAATACTTTCAGAATGTCTTGTTCACCAATGAACTCCAGAAAAGGCTTTCCGATACCAGCATCTATTGCCTATCGGTGGTAAGTCTTTCTCACTTATTCATATCGTGATGGTATACTACACGTTCCTAATGTCCCATTGACGATTGGATGATTCCCTCAGCACCCAGGTTTGGTTGCCTCACAGATCACAAGAAGTCTGTATTCAACAAACGCTCTTTCAGAGGCAATCGGGGCCAACATTAACTTTACTTTTCTCTTTTGAAATATGCAGGCGTGATTAGTGAATCGCTTACAGACTTCTTAGCGGTAAGTAAATTTTGTTTCCAGTCTCACTTTTTACCAGCCTCCATTGTTTTCAAACATCCTGATAAATATCCTGGTTGGATCCAACCTTTTAGAAAATCGGTAGTTACATCATTTCCAGTCCACATGAGGGAGCCCTGACGCAATTATACGCGGCCACTTCCCCGGAGATCGAAAGCAAGGGACTGAGGTTTGTAGTTTTTCTTTCCTATATCTCAAGAATTATATCTTAATTGATTGAAATATGCACCCCAAAAATATCACTAACACAAGATAACAATTTTCTGATAAACAAATAACCGTTTGTTACAGGGCCGCTTATTTGGTGCCATATGGGCAAGTAGGTCGCAAGAGTCTGATTGCTGAGGATCGGGGTGGAAAATTAGGCCGACAGTTCTGGGATCTCTGTGAACGTTTGATGCAAGCTGCTGAAGACAAACAGAAATAAATCTTCCCTTGGCATTGGTCACTTTGATGTTGATGTTCAAGTTGAGAGTCAGCTACTGACATTCAAGTTGCTTATCAGATTTTGATTTTGCATGTACTAAGCTCCTTCTCCAATGAAAACTCTTATCCCTTCGTTGACATGCTTATTCTGTTGATTGCTGTCGCAGAAACGTATCCCCTAAAGCATGCTACTACTGCTAGTACCTACTAACAAGCAATTTATGGCAGAACATCAAGGAAGGCTGGGTCATTAACAACTCAGCTTCAAATGTAAGTCCTGGGAGGTACAGAAAGAATGTGTTTTCCACTCAATTTAAATTCTGGAGGAGCATGTCTGCATCTCCTTTGTCAGTGCCCCATGGGAAAACAATATGAAAGTGTAATTGCCAAGGGAGAAAAACAATTCCTCATACCCTTCATTCATCTAATAAGTTAAAGTGTAACTGTCACATTATGGTCAAATCAAAAATTTGCTTAATTCATCCTGGCCCCATCAGCATGTCAAATTGAGCAACACAGTGAAACAATTCCCAACACTTGTTGCTCATGGATCCCCTCTAGTTTTCCTTAATACACCTTTTTTTTGCTCCACCCAACAAGGGATATCCCTTGTCTGATTCTGTTTTTGGAATACTCTGGCATCTCAGTATGAAAAACATGTGTTATGGTGCCATTTAATTTGTATGGTATGTACATTTATGTGTTTTAAATCCTGCCCAAGGGGCTAACTATTTGCAACAATGAGTGCACTTAAGTTGCAGGATAGAATTGAATATATAAATATATATAATTAAAGTGTGAAATGGAAGATCAAATTGATCACAGTTTGGAAAATTTCTACATCCAAACACTATAAGAAGACTGTCTTAGCCAATGATTACAGGTTGTGGAATACACACAATCCTCTATATTGAGTAAAAAATATTTGAAAGTTTGGCCTAACATTACACAAGAGTTGCCCAGCAGGCCTAGAGGTTGTGATTTGTGAAAGCTGTACTCTTGAAGATGTCCTTCACATCTTGTTGAGTTGAGCTTTCAATTTTCAATCCTGTTGGGCACACTTCCCCTTCCCCTACTCAAAACAAAAATCACAAGGCACAGACGTAATAGTATGTATCTCTCTTATGTACCACATGAATAAATTTGGATATTTTAAGATTTCAATCAAATTGGTATATGCCATTTTTTTTAAAACAAAAACAAAAGGATCAATTAGGGGGGGGGGTTCACATTTGAGTGAAATGTTGTTGATTTCAAATACATTTTCTGCTTGCTGATTTCTAAAATTGGTCCAAACTGGTGGTGTAATTAGTAACTGAATTGTCAGTGCAAGCCTTGAGGACTTGTTCTTGTCTTCTAAGTTCACAAAAAAATGGCACAAATAATCCAGATACAATGTAACAAAACTAGATACAGTTTTATTCATTTATTTGTTTTACAGCCTGTACCATGTGGCATGTAATTACCCAATTTTTTTTTGGAATCTATTTCTCTCAAGTCAAATGTTCATCTCACAAATCCCAGCCTTTTGCCTCAGGGTGAAGAATCATCAAAAGTAGTTCTTGCCACTTGTTTGCAATTTTTATGGAAAATAAAGAAAAAAAAACAACAAATGTAAACATCATTCTTCAGAACAGAATCCCACAGTCAATACCCCTTAAGATATATCCTCTTTTTTTGTAGCTACAGTTTCTCTAAATGACCCCCCCCCCAAAAAAAAAAAGAAAGAAAGAAAAAAAAAAAAAAGAAAAAAAGTGATAAAAGTGAGAGAGAGAGAGAGAGAGAGAGAGAGAGAGAGAGAGAGAGAGAGAAGTGACAAAAACCAAGACTCTCTCTCTCTCTATATATATACATTGTAATTAAGAAGAAGACGAAGCAAGAGAAGGAACCAGATAACGATCCAAAATGATATCCAACAAGTCCAAGCAATCGGTAGAGTTTTTAAGGAATTGAAAATGATCAACCGAGTTATTTATAGTCGAGTTCGATTGAAGAGGCGAGACAATGGAACTACTAGTAGTAGTAGTAGTAGCAGTATTCACAGATCCCAAATTAGTGTGATTTCCGGACAGATGATGATTTTGATGATGACTGATCTCAACAATCTCATCATCATCAACAATTTTTTGTTTGCCTTTATCCGCTCCAAGTTTTGTTGATTGATGACTCTCCTGATCATGAGAATGAGATTGACTGAGATGATTAGGTAACACAAAGCTAGACGATTCCCTCTTGACCTTTTTGACTTCCTTGACCTTAGTCTTGAGATACTCTTGTTCACGGGCCTTCAAGAGAGATTTGGAGAGACTGAGAGAGATGGGGATCGGGATCGAGTTTCCAATCAGTTTAAACAACTGTTGGTTCACCGTCTCGTCCATCTTTCCCTTTGTCGCCGCTGGCTCTAATTTAAATCGATCCGGGAATCCCTGCAAAATTAAACATTGATTTTTTCTTTCAGTCTTGTCTCTCCATAACTTCCCCTTTGGATCTTAGGGAAATGAAACCAAACCGTGACAAACCTGTGCTCGTTGAGCTTCCAATAAACTCAGTGTCCTGTATTGGTTAGGATGCAAGACCGCCCCACATTTATTTTGATTATGGGGATGCATTTTCTGGATATGGGAAGAAACAAAAGTTAAATTGATTTTGAGTGCTGTAATTGATACAGGAGAATTGAGATGAAAGTAAGAAAAAAGGAAACTAAGAATAAAAAAAAACTAACGGTGATGATAGTATTGAATTGACCCTGGAACCCCAAACGACCATAATTACCATCAAAATCATGTGGATTTCTGCACGTATTGAGGTTTTTTAATCGGAGCGGCTTGGGTAAATCTAAGAATTGAAGAAAGAAACAAATCAATCAATATCAATTGATTGATGAGTGTTGTGTGAGTGGATACTAGAGCAATAAGGACACTCACGTCGATGATCAGCATTTGGTTTGAGAGGAATATTACAGATCCGTTCGGTCACTTTAGCCGAGAACCTGGGTGTGACATGCCAATTACGAATCCGGCAATCAGATCCTAAAGCATAATGATCACCATCCTCATCATTGTAACGAGTTCTCCTTTGCTGAACATTTCGAGAATCCGAATTCTCGACTCTCGGGTATTTGGGGATAAAAGCCTCAACTAAGGGCTTCCATTCGAGCGGCTTTCGTAGCCAAGATTGGTAGCGATTCATCGGCTTGGTGAGGTATTCGAACTCGTCGAATCCAATCAATGAGATCGTCGAGTGGTTGAGAGTTGAGGAGAAGGAGACGAGCCGATTGAGTTGAGGGACCAACTCTGATCTGCCAGTGATCAATTCCTGATTGTCATTGTTCTGCCTAATTCTGTGGGGCCTCCTGGAACAGTATTCTGCCATGATCCGGTCCGGATTCAGGTACTCGAACTCGGGCAGGTCGGAGATTGCATCGTGAACTGTGATTGCTTTCAAGGCCCCTGAACTACACTTTCGATAATCAGCTCGTACCAAGCGATGCCCATTATGGTCACTCTTCTCATCGTTTGTCGGCAATAAGATTGCCAGACCTTCGTCGGGATAGTGGTGAGTTGGTTCAGGTAATTTGATAGCTGTCAACCCGTGTCGAGTTCCTGCAAAGATGATTCTGCGTCGCGCTTGCGGTGATCCAAACTGGGCGGCTTGTAAAACTCCAAACTGCACTTGATAACTATCCAACCAAAAGAACAAGATCAGTTTTTTGCTTAGTATAGTCAAGGGAATTTTGAGGCTCACCCAAGACTGATTAGAGCTCCGTTGATAATCCTCAAGAATGCCTTGTTGAGCACCGAATCATTGCCTGGATTAATGAAGCTTGTCTTGAGTAAACCCGCGCACCTATTTGATATCAGGAAATAAAAAACATGAGTCAGATTTAGGGGTGATTCCCAGGTTGATAAAAGTGAGATTTAAAACCAAACATTTTCAAAGAATAGATAATCAGGCTTCAGATAGGCGATGAACGATAGAGCGGTGGCACAGAGAGCATTCTTAGAATCGTTTGCCTTCCGTAAAACATTAAGGGTTGAATGACTCCCACTGTTTAAGACCAGGCAAGGAAGAGATCATTAGAAATTTGATGCATGCATGAGAAACAAAAGTACAATTCCTTTTTTCATTTGAGATCCTTACCATGGGAATCCAGCAGTGATTAAATCAAAATCACCCGGTCGAGGTAATTCATTGACACGAATCACCTTCCCAGTTCTTTGATCAACCAAGAAGTCCTGACCGGACTCAGTCTTACCATTGATCATCAGTGCAAGAACCTCGTTAACATCCGCACAGATGATTGTCGAGCGAGGAAAATTGGTGGAGAGCGTTTGACAAGCCGGGATCGAGAAATCGATGAACATTGTTTCGTCTTGTGAGGCCAGTCCGAGCTCGATCAACGCCACACTCATACTCCCAATCCCTCCAAATAACTCGAGGTGCCGGATCCTTCCACATCCATAATTCTTCACCAGATCCGCATACTGGTTGCCTTTTGATGATTCGTGCTCGATCTTCACCCATTCTGGCTCTTGACTTATTATAGCTTTCTCCCAGCCGTCATCGATAATTGGAACACTGCAGAAATATTTGGCTTGTTTCCGGGTGGGTAAGATCGAATAAAAGCAATTGTCTCGGTTTATAATTGACTCCTCTGAGACTTCACGACGAGAACCAACAGTGACGAATTGTCGAGTTTTGTCCTTGAACAGATGTACAATCTCGCATTTACCTTCAAGCTGACTCTTGACATCAACCAGTTGTTCCTGATTGGTCATCCATAATCTGTGGTCGTCGGCAAACTTTCTTGAGTCCTTCTCAGTCTGAAACCACGGTTTACGTTGATATTTGCGGATAGTGATCACCGGCTTGTGTTTCAAACTGGCAATCCTCGAATAGACTTTAGCAGGTGGTCGAAATGGCGTGTCGTCAAGATTAATTGTCTTGTCCGCATTCCAATTGGCACGAACCCCACATATTTCAACGATTTGGCCGATAACTTGAGGCTTGGATGGTGATGTATCGGCTACCCTGACAAAATCATTGAGTCGGTAAGTTTCCTGGCCGCGTAGGGTGAATCCTAGTAACTCGTATTGGTCAGTCTTTCCAAGTAAAATATGTCCATTGGTTGCATCTGTGAGCCATTCGATTTCTCGTGGGACAGAAACACAAGTTGAACATAATGATTTTGGATGTTTAATTGGATTTGGCGGATTTGGCTTTCGGACGCATGGTAAATCTAGGAAGCTACCTTCGTTAGGTTTCCAGTGGAACCGACAGTAATAGCTGTCAATCGGAGGTGGTTCGGTCTTATTAGCCGCAATCCATACAACCTTTTCAATCCCGGTGATGAATCTCAACTCGATTTCGTAGCATTGGTCGACCAATAGAAGCTCTAATGGTTCACCGGATGCACCAACAAAGGAGTGCTGTGCCTGATATGTAGTGAAAAAAGGCAGGCAAAAATCAGTCTTCAGAATAATCTTAAGGAAGATAAGCATAAGAAGGTACCTCTTCAAGCCATGTGCCGTGGAAATATTTGAGTTGATTGCGTTCAAACAAGGCTCGGATGAGAAATCTTCGACGGTTTGGTTTGGGAGGTTTTATGTCTTGAAATTTGTCCTCTCTTTCATCATCGGTATCTGAGCCATAATTATCATCTACAGTTGTCAATCGTGCCTTCCTGTAGCTAAATTCACGCCCAGTTTTTCTTTCACAAATGATCACTGAACCAATGCTATTTTCATTTTTATTTAGTTTTGACAAAAAAGAAGACAACATTTGATTGAAGATTGATGACTGACTTGATAGTTTGATTTTGAATTTTGACTGATTGATAAAAATCTTCGCCGTTTTGTGAGATTTTCCACGGTCTTGAAGAAGTCCAATGAATCTGGTCAAGATTGACACAATCCTGGAATCGGGTTGAGGAACGAGGAGTCTTCAGGCACGGGATGTGATGGATGGCATCTAGTGTGCCGTTTGAGATTGTTTTCAAGCAATCAAAATAGTGCTTGAATTTCTGGGCGATTAGAGGTAAAACAAGTACGGGTTCTTCTGCTTCAAGATTTCTTCTTCTTCTATGATTGAGCTCAGATAAATCCGGTTGTTGATCTTCATCTTCCGGTTCACTTGTGCTGGGTACAAAGTCTGGGTCGGCCATTGGGATAGGAGCATTAACGTTGAGGTAGTCTGGGTAGGGAGCCAGCCCTGGTTGGTGAGGGATGACGACGGCAACCTAAGGTTTTTTGCTGGGGGGCTGTTTGATGGCAGGATTGGCTAACGTTTCTTGAGGCTGGTTGGAGGTGAAACTGAGAAGA